CCCACTCTCTCTTCCTTCCAGCCTCCTACCTTCCCTCCTCCCTATCTTCCTATCTGTCTGCCTGACTTTCTACCTTCCTTGAAATCTTCCTTTCTATATTTCTACCTCCCTCCCTATCTCCTCCCTTCCTTCCTTCCTTCCTCCCTCCCTCCCTCCCTCCTCCTCTCCCTCCCTTCTTCCCTATCTAAAATCCCCAAGGGGATAAAACTACCAATAGCAAGTATGAAAACTATACCAAAGTCTTACCTTTCCGTTACTTTAGCAGGGAGTGGGAGGGGCAAGGGTTGGACTTCATGGTTTTAGAATTTTCAAAAATTCTACACCTGATAGAACTTGTAATCCTATGAACCACATCGATTATGATTTTCCCAGGCTCCACATTCCCTCCTGGTGGGAGTGCTGGCTCTTTAGAAGTGTTCATATGTGCTGCTGCATTGAACTCAATGTGGCTTCGGAGAGTGTACCAGCCCTTTAGGCCAAGAAGGCCTTCCCTGGCAAAGGGGGTTAACTAGGAGAATTAGAGGTACCTAGAATACAATGTACTATGAGCTTTAAAAAATGCCCATGCTTTCTACTGTACTACTTTCCCAGTTTCACACACAAAAAGATACTTCTCCATAAATCTTTCTCTGTCAAATTAAGCAGGAGGCCTAGCTATTTACTCCTTGAAGCTGTGGAAGATTTTTGAGTTCCTAGTAAAAATACAAAGTCTTAAAGTCATTGAAAAGGAAAGACCAACTTACCGCAAAAGTTCAAGTGGCATGGTTATTTTAGGAGCCTGCTCACAGATTTATTGCTTAAAAAAATACATTGATTTTTCTCCCTTCCACAAAATTTCAGCAATTTAACACTGTTTCAAAACTGGACAGCGGAGAGTATTACTGCGAAGCTCGTAACTCTGTTGGATTTCGCAGGTGCCGGGAGAAACGAATGCAAGTAGGTAAGCATGAACTACTGGGAGGAACAGATGGCTTGCACTTAGGACGTGTAAGGAGTCGGGGGAAGGAGCAAGGGGTGGGAAAGGGCTGAGTGGTTGGGAGGATAGTCTGGAGGGAATGTTTAAAACCAGCTTGATGTAAGGAGCAAAGCTGCTTTTTTAAATCCATATACAATGCTAAATACTCTTGGCTTGTTTGGGAGATGGATGAAAAACAGCATCTTTGCTCCTTGCCTCCAATTCTGGCTCTGCCAGGTACTAGCTACACCCTCTGCGGCGAATCATTTGACCTCTGTGCCTCAGTCTCCCCAAAATGGAAGTAATAATATGCCATCCTCACAGGGCTGTTATGAAGATGGAAATAATATTTGAAAGTGTTAGAGTAGCGCTGGCATATCGTGAGCACTATATACGTGTTGTCTGTTTTACTTGTTACCAGGTTATTGTTGTTAATTTTGTTGATCTTGGGAAATACTATGTTAGACTTACTGCAAAGGAGGTTCTCAAAAAAGGTGTTGAATATAATTACGGATCTAGGTGGCTATAAAAAGTAGCTGCTGTATATTATGTTACACAAAATGAGCTTCTTAAAATCCAATAAAATTAGGGCTCAGGAATCTTCTCAGATTGTAAGAGTTTCAGAACAAGCATATTGTTTTTTTCATTTTATTTTTAATAACTTGGTTTCATTCTTCCTGTGTGAAGAACATGGAGTGTAATAGAGAGGGCTGAGCTGAGATGGTACCCCAAGGGGTTAAAGGTCACTCCGGAGGGCTGCACTCGGAAGCAGAAGCCTGAGGTTCCCCTTGGTTCAGGAGCTTGTCCTCAGCATTTTGGGGTCAGAAATTCATTTTTCCAATGTGCTTAGGAGTATGCAGATATGTGTGCAGTAATGTGTATTGTCTAAGTACAGTTAAATTCAGCACTTATTTTTAAAGAAAATATGATCTTGTTAGATTTCAGGGTATCCTAAAGTATAAGATATTCAATAGCACATTTTAATTTCCACAAGCAAGTTTGAATTTCCAGTGTTTTTATTTTATTTTTTTAAATTCAGGGATACATGTTACCCACCAAATTCATTCAGGTGTTGATATTGATAGTCAAACAGGAGCATTTGATTAATTATTAGAAACTCTCTCTCTCTCAATGCTGCTTTGGAGTTATTAGGAAATTTCATCAGAATCTGTTATAAAAATTAACACGATCCAGTGTTTTCCTAACTTCATTCATTCATATATTGTCCTCATGGTTTTTACCATAACCTGTACCACCTACATTATTACTATTTATTTTTTCTTTAAATGGTCGTGTTTAATTTTAATGCCTAATCTACCCACCTCTTAAGAAGTAATATCTGTGATATTATGGTTTTTACATTCTAGTTACATTTTTCTAGCAGATACAGAACAGATAAAAAAACATAACAGATAAAATTTAATAGTTTGTGTTTTGTTAGTAGTACTGCTTTAAGTTACACATGATTTCCACATATGTAATCTTTCTGGTATAAGTTAGTTTAAAAGTTAAAATTAGTTTGTTTAATGCTCATCCATTGTTCCTAGGTATTTCATGCCCTTGGCTTGGAATTTATGTAATTTGAAATACACAAGAATTCCTGAAATCTCATGTTCAGTTTTCTTTTTGAATTATCATTAATAACAGGGGCCCTCAAACTACGGCCTGCGGGCCACATGCAAATACAAATATTGTATTTGTTCCCGTTTTGCTTTTTTACTTCAAAATAAGATATGTGCAGTGTGCATAGAAATTTGTTCATAGTATTTTTTTTAAACTATAGTCCAGCCCTCCAACGGTCTGAGGCACAGTGAACGGGCCCCCTGTTTAAAAAGTTTGAGGACCCCTGATTAATAACAAAACCAAAAGCAGAACCTGTGAACTGTTCTAAAGAAGTTCTTTCTGAAGTATAGGTAATCAGCAAATTATCTTTTGAACCATGTCCGGAAAGTGAGTTATTTGCTCAGTTTCAAAAGCATGAAACTACGCATGTCTGTGGTACAGCCGCAAACAGAAGCTGTTGGAACTTTTTCAGTAGAAGGACTGCATCTGTCCTCCTATTGGACATGAATTCACTCCTGGTTCATGTTGCATTCCAGATGATCTCAACGTGAGTGGCATCATAGCGGCCGTGGTGGTAGTGGCCTTAGTGGTTTCCATTTGTGGCCTTGGTGTGTGCTATGCCCAGAGGAAAGGATACTTTTCAAGTAAGTGATTTCACCCTTGACTAGACAGATTCCCTTAGGTAGAGAGTTTTCTTATGCGACACCGTTCTCTTAAGAAGCGAGAACATTTTTCTGGAGACTATTTTTCGTTGCTTTTTCTGTAGTAGAGGATATCCAAGATGACCTGCAGGTGGGTCATGAAGCACCTTGGCAAACATAGGGAGCAAAGGCAGAGCTGCCTCAGCCCAACGTTCCGGGAGGCACCACTGGATACGCAGGAGGCTCCTGGCGTGGCCTAGTGCAGCGATAGTCAACGTGCCTGGGTGTTCACCACACATTTACATGCATTGAAGATCCTTTTCAGTTAGGAATTGTATATCGCAAGCGGTAAATTGATTTCTGATTTTATGATGAGATATTTCATTGAAATCTGTCAACTGTTTTATCAGTGGATAACAGTGAATGTTGAATGTCAAAGTTAGCACAACTGTATGTAGAAGAGAATTATTCAGTAAAAACTAGCAACCTATTATACTGCAGTTGCTTCTGAACAAGGTTTTTAGTTCTTCATGTTTAGACCTCTGGTGATGCTAAACCCCAATTTGGTGATAGGTTTGATGTAAATGTGTGAGATTTAAAATGAATCTGTTTTATTCTCTTAATGCATTTCCTTTTTCCTTAGTCTTTAAAATTACCCGAGAGCTCAAAAGCTGTAGAACTCCCCCATCAAGTCCATTGGGAATAGTGTATGAAGTAGAATTTTTAATGGAATAATACATAAATTAACAGCATAAACTAGTTTTAGATCCACTGTCTCACAGTGAACATTAATTTTGGAGTTTAGGTTTAAAAAAAAATTCTATACAAAAATAAAACTTAAATTTAAAAGGGGTTTCTAATAACACCTATAAGTAGATATTGTCATAAAATATTTCCATGAACATAGTCTCAAAGATATTTTTTATAGTTAAGAACTGTTCTGTGAATGAATAATACTTGTTCTTTTGCATGGTACTACAAACTAGTCCTGTGTAACTTTATGAACGGATTCGGCTGAGTCCCCCTGCTGGTCACCAGTGAAAGAACAGACAAAAGATTGCTCAAAATTCTTGTCATCTTTATCTCTACTTGCAAAGAATATATATAAGTATTTTTTTGAAGATTTGGTAAACATTTTTTCTTAAAATAATGAATTAATTGCTTAGGGAGTTGGTAGTTCATTCGCTAAGAATGTTACTCCATTTTCGTCTAGCAGAAAATCTAAGAACCATTTTCTTGAACTTGCACTTCAGACAGGGTTGGGCAAACTACAACCTGTGGACAAACTCTGGCCTGCCACTTGTTTTTTTATGGCCCACGAGCTAAGAATGGTTTTTACAGATGAACACTGGCAATCTATTTGAAAATAGGGAACATTAACTTTGAGCCTTAATTAAGAGAAATGTTATCTTCCCCAAAGGAGAATTCCATTATGCTGTTAACACAAGAACTTATTATTATATTTAAAATTTTAAACAATAAAAGTTTTTGGAAGTTTGTTTTTTCTTGCTATATAATTACCTATGTGATAACCTGAATTTCACCTCTTGGCCCACAAAGTCAAAAATATTTGCATGTAGCCCTTCACAGAAAAGGTCTGCCAACTCTTGATTTAGAAGGTGCAAATGTCAGCAAGTGAGAATCAAGACTGAGAAAAAGAAATGAAGCTTAAACTTAATGTTTATATGGATCTGTATCGTGCCATTTTAACTCTTGTACTAACGATATATACTTATTCTTTTGTAGAGGGAACCTACCAGTAAGTATACTTTCTTAAAATGCATGCTTTTCTTCCAAACCAACTAATTTTCTGTGAGTCATATGTTCAAAGCCAAATGTGCAAAGTTGAGTTAATCTGTGAAGGTTTTTAATCCTATGGGAAGTGACTGTGACTCAAGTTCATCAAGAAATATATCCCACCTCATGCCTACTTTTCAATGATGTTTGACTACCTAGAGACGAAACACATTTGTTAATTTGACTGCATAGGCATTTCCATAGTACTACTATAAAAAATAAATTTGCAGTCATTTGCTAAATAGTAAAATGTAAAATTTTATTCAACAGTCATGTTTACATTTAATTAAATACTGATTCTTTGCCCAACACTGTCCTAGGGACTTGTGGTGACACAGCAGCGAATAAAACAGGGGGGACACACGTCACCCCATAACCATAGTCACCACATAAGACTTTCTTTTCTTTGGAAAGATGAAACTTGAGATTTTAATCTCAAGCCTTCAAAATGTTAAATGTCTGCAAGTCTCTGTTTTGCATATTCCACAAAAATCCTTAGTATACTAGCCCTAGGCTGCAACCAGATACACAGGGCTTCACACACACACACACACACACAATAATATTGTGTTGCATGGCTTTCTCTGTGGATGCTGCCTATAAATAAAGGACTTCAGTTGGGATTTCTGGCTTTTTCTTGTACCTGGCTACAAATGTCCATCTTCCAGTTGAGAAAATGTATGGAGGTAACATTGACTGAATGAGGGTGTGTGTTCCAGACTTGGAAGTGATCATTTTACTAAACGTCTTTTATATTCCACAAACAGGAAGAGTAACTCTGCATCTAAAGCCACTCCGATGGGTCAAAATGTGAGTATTGTTAAAGCGTATTTATAGAATGGATGTGTTTAGGGAATAAGGCAAGGGAAGGAAGTAATTATATAGAAGTAATGGGTTTGCACTTTTATTTCTTTATTTATTTAATATATTTTTATTGATTTCAGAGAGGAAGGGAGAGGGACACAGAGATAGAAACATCAATGATGAGAGAATCATTGATCGGCTGCCTCCTGCAAACCCTCCACCCCCAACCCCGACCCCACATTAAGGATCGAGCTCGCAACCCAGGCAGGTGCCCTGACTGGGAATTGAACCATGACCTCCTGATTCATAGGTCAATGCTCGACCACTGAGCCAGGCCGACCGGTGGCTTTTCACTTTTAATATACTTGGTACTAGTGTCTACCATGGCCTTTTGAAGGAGCTGGGTGAATGTTAGCTTCCATCCCTGTCTGCAGTGGCATGATGCAGTTGCCTGGTATTTGTAGAGCGAGGAGGCTTTATCACACCATTATTTTTTCTTGTGGTGTTTTCTATTATTAGTCAGCCTTAGGGCTGGCATTATCCACTTCATTTTATAGATGAAGAGATTAAGACACAAGTTCTCAGAGGATTACAGTGGCTGAGCTGGGAACCAGGCACCTCGATTGTGTCAGCTTGACCAAGCAGCTCACTTCCGCACAGCTGTGGTCCCAGGACACTCCTTGGGTTAGTGAAAAGCACTGAGGAATTTTAAGGATGTAGACTATCCTCTGCTATTGCTGAAAGGAGAATCTCGGAAATCCTTGAAAAGATGCAATTATCATCTAACTGAGATGGCTAAGGGAACGTAAATTAGACATTTGGACCCTGGTGTACTTCTGCATTTGTAAACCCAACAGTAAAGCCGTAAATCCATTGCTCAGATTTCGTAGCTCTTTGGATGTATATTCAACTCTATATGTTATTTTTCAAGAACACAGTGTGTGTGTGTGTGTGTGTGTGTGTGTGTGTGTGTGTGTGTGTTCCAATGCTTTTAGAAGCCTAAGCCCTTTCTAGAGAAATAGAGCACTGGTTCTCTGAACTCCTTAGTCCTCTATGGCAGGGGTTCTCTTAAATTTTCTCTCACTGGAGCTTGGGGTGGGGCATGGGCATCAGTATTTTAAACACTTGGGTGCTCCTGCTGGACACTAATGTTGAACACCCACAAACTGCTGTGTAGAGTTTTTTCCATCCAAAGATTTTTTATTGTTAAATTATTTATTTATTTACTTTTCAATTTATTTTTATTGATATCAGAGAGGAAGGGAGCGGGGGAGAGAAATGGAAACATCAGTGATGAGAGAGAATCATTGATTGGCTGCCTCCTGCACATCCCACACTGGGGATCGAGCCTACAACCCAGGCATGTGCCCTGACCAGGAATTGAACCGTGACCTCCTGGTTCAGAGGTTGATGCTCAACCACTGAGCCACACCGGCCGGGTGTTATGATTCATATATGATGAATTCTTATAATTTCACATAATCCTGTTTTTTGTGGGGGGAGGGCTGCCCTGTGCAATGGATAATGCTTAGCAGCCCCCTGATCTTTACCCCACTAGATGCTGTAGCACCCCCCTCGTAAATAAGAGTTACCCTGCTCTAATTCCCACTCCTATTGCTTTACTGTTTAGCAACAGTTTCAAAGACAGTGTCTCCTAGTATTTAATTATTTAATTCCTTATAAAATAGATTTAATTCACTATGTGCTGGTTTGAACCTGTAAGATTCTGATACTCATAAGATTTATCTATTTCTTTAAATATAAATTAATATTGTATATTTAAACTTGGTTTTTCTTTCTTTTCATAGGATTTCAAGCACTCAAAATCCTTTATAATTTAAAAGAATTCCACCTCTGAAATACACCAATACCACAGTTGTTCACAAGTTATTAAAGATTATAACACTTTGCTTTGTCTTACATTTGCAAAGAGGTACATAAGGAGATGAAATTGGTATTTTATTAAAATTTTTATGAACACTAAATCACTTGAGATCGTTATTTTAAACAGTCTGGGCTTCTGGTCAAGATGGCAGAGTAGGAAAACACTATACTCACCTCCTCCCACCCCACAGCGACATCAAAATGACAACTAAAGTGCAGAACAACCAACATTGAAAACCATCTGAAATCTAGATGAATAGATTATGTAAAACTAAGGATATACATAAGGCACTTCCAGGCTGGTAGGAGGGGCAGAGACGCATGACGGGCTGGTCCCACACCCACATGTGGCCATTAAAAACTGGGAGGATATCTCAGCTTCATCGGTCCCCACTGAGGAGCAACGGTTCCCAACCCCATACCACTCCCACCCCCCCACCCACCCCCAGCCCAGCTTCCAGTGCTGGGAAGAGAAGTCCCCATAACTGCTGGCTGTGAAAGCCAGTGGGAATTGTGGCTGAGTGGGACAGAGGGATGCTGGAGTCCCAGGCATTCTTAAAAGCCCACACACAGACTCACTGGGACTCACTGGCTCTCAGCTCAACACAGACAGCTGCACAAAAGGACCTACAGGAAGAAACTGAGGAGTCTGGCATCAGGGGCAGCTAGACCGGCAGCTTTCTCCCAGACACAAGTGCTGGCAGAGGCCGTTGTTCCTTTGTGTAGCCCTCCCCTGTACAGAGCCGGCAGGCAGGTGCCATATCCGAGTCTCCATCAACCTGGCTAACACTGTTCACCAAGGCCGCCTAACTTTTGGGCCCATTCAAGCCAATCCCAATGGCTTTTCCATACCAATAGCCTGTCTTGGTTCATACTATGAACTTTCCTAAAATCACTCAGAGGTTCACAAACCCCAAACTAGCAGCATTGGGCCTTGGTGAGGTGCCCTGTGCCTCTCGCTAAGCAGCCCAAGCCTGGCACTAGAGGTGGCCAGTCTTAGTTCTCTCCCGGAATCTGCAAACCCAGCACAAGTGGCAATCCTCTACAGACCACTTTGTAGCTCACACCAAGGGACCCTGAGCAGGCAGAGGCAGTTTCAGACCTTGGCCTGTACCTCCCCTGAACCAATATACCTGATATACCTGATGGCCAGCTTCAGACCACACTAGTGCCACTCAACCACCTCCGCAAACAATACGTTCAAAAGGCAGGCTTGGCAGGTACTAGAGCTCCACTACGGCAAATCCTGCTCTGTAGTCAGTCCCTGTACAACAGCTCCTCCACTGTAGCCAGTTCTCACAACCCATCATCCTGAGGGTCAACCCCTCCCATTGACATGCCAACAGCAATCCCTCACCTATGACACGAGGGCACATATATCCCACACAAGGGACATACCTGGAGCACCTGGTTCAGGTGACTAGGGAGACCGCACCACTGGGCCCCATAGGAAACAGAAAACCTATTACATAAGGCCACTCTATCAAGACTGGGAGACTAGCAGTTCTACCTAATTCATAGAAATAAACACAGGGAGGCAGCCAAAATGAAGAGACAAAGAATCATGTCCCCCCAAAAAAGGAGAGAACAAAACTCCAGAAAAAGAACTAAACAAATATGGAGAGAAGCAATCTACCAGATGCAGAGTTCAAAACACTGCTTATAAGGATGCTCAGTGATCTCAGTGAGAACTTTAACAAAGGGGTAAGAAACATAAAAATAAAGATAGAGAACAAGTCAGAAATGAAGAATACAATAAGGAAAACGAATACATTAGAGCAGCGGTTCTCAACCTGTGGGTCGCGACCCCTTTGGGGGTCGAATGACCCTAAGACCACCGGAAAAACACATATATAATTACATACTGTTTTTGTGGTTAATCACTATGCTTTAATTATGTTCAATTTGTAACAATGAAATTGGGGGTCACCACAACATGAGGAACTGTATTAAAGGATTGCGGCATTAGGAAGGTTGAGAACCACTGCATTAGAGGGAATCAACTATAAGTTAGATAAAGCAGAGGATTGAATCAGTGATTTAAAAGATAAGGTAGCAGAAAATGTCCACTCGAGCCCTAACTAGTTTGGCTCAGTGGATACAGCCTTGGCCTGTGGACTGAAGAATCCCGGGTTCGATTCCAATCAAGGGCACATGCCTGGGTTGCAGGCTCAATCCCCAGTAGGTGGTGTGCAGGAGGCAGCCAATCAATGATTCTCATCATTGATGTTTCTATCTCTCTATTCCTCTCCCTTTCTCTCTAAAATCAATAAATATATATTAAAAAAGAGAAAATGTCCAATTGAAACAGTGAAAAGAAAAAAGAATTTTTAAAAAATGAAGATATTATTGTGAAATTAATCCTCTGAGCATGCAAGAATAAACTGCGTGCACTCCCTGTACATATTGAGAGGGTTCAGAAATACTGTGACAGATGCAAAGGGAACTCTGGTCTCATTTCCAACAGAATCCTCTTTCCTCCCTTCATATAATCCTTATTCTGCTGCTCATTTATCCACAGAAGAGAGGTAGTGGGAGTGGCTCTTATACCCAAGGATTTGTACTCTGTTTACTTTCATTTCTAAGAACTAAAAGCAACATGAAGAAAAATACCTCCTGACCAGAGCTGACTCAAGAGAGCCAAACACAACCCGAGTGTTATTTCACCCAGACCTGCTTGTTGCTACTTCCTTCCCCTAAGGCCCCTTTAAAGAGGACCAGTGACCTGGAACCTGCAAACAGAGCCCTGTGGATGCATTTCCTGTGGGATGGTGACTTCACATCTGTCTCTAACAATCAGAAAGGGGAATTTGGGCTAGGCCAAGTCCTTTGGTCTTATGGTCTGTGGATTGCAAATCTTGCTAATCACAAAGCTGTGGCTACGGTGGGGAAAAGCAGTTATGTGACAAGTAAAATGACTTGAAGGAGTTCACTGTGGCTCCCTGAGCCTGTACCCATCCCCTTGCTACACCAGGGCACAGGAGAATGGTGGTTGAAGTGAAAATGGGTCTAATCATCTGGTTTCTCAACTGATTAATCACAAAGACTTCCAGCTAGTGTCACAAAGTGAAAAGGTCAACAATCCATCCTATATAATAAAAGCCTAATATGCAAAGTGTCTGGTCATTCATTCAACCAATCAAAGCATAATATGCTAATGATATGCTAAGGCCGCTCAACCACTTGCTATGACATGCACTGACCACCAGGGGGCAGACAGTCAGCCAGTCGCTTTGAAGTGCACTGACCACCAGGGGGCAGACGCTCCAGCCAGTAGGTTAGCTTATTGCTGGGGTCCAGATGATCAGGACTGAGCAAGACGGGCCAGACATGCCCTGGAGTCCTCCCGCGGTCCCTCCCTGGCCAACCTCCTGCTTCCCTTGCTGGCCCTGATTGTGCACTGGTGGGGTCCCTCGGCCTGGCCTGCACCCTCTTGCAATCTGGGACCTCTTGGGGATGTCAGAGAGCTGGTTTTGGCCCGATCCCGCAGGCCAGGCCGAAGGACCCCACTGGTGCATGAATTCATGCACTGGGCCTCTAGTTTAATAATAAGAGCAGTTTGACTATGTTAAAAGCATAATTATAATTTGTTTTGATTTAATTTAATAATTGATTGTATTAATTCCTATTAAAAACAAAATATGGCCAGGCTATTTCCAGTTCCGGGCAAATCTGGATGCAAAGGTCCCTCACTACTTTTGACAACTTTGAACATGGTTAAGCTACTTTTAAATGAGTCCATTCTCACCCTGGCCGGCTCAGTTGGTTGGGTGTTGTCCCCTGCATGGAGAGGTTGCCCGTTCATTTCCCCAGTTGGGGCACATGCCTGAGTTACAGCCTTCAAGAGGCAGCTGATCAATGTTTCACTTTCACATTGATGTTTCCCTCTCTCTCTCTCTAAAAATCATAGAAAATAAAAAATAAAGGCATACATTATTTTTGCCCAATAAGCAAAGCAAATTCTCAGGATTCACTGGACAAATAACTTAAGCGCTCACTGAGTGTCTTGCACGTGCCTGGACACCAGGTCACTGGGAAGACACCTGTAGTCAGACTACTCCCAACTCCCCCCTCTGTTTATGGCATTCAGTGCTTCTCATCAATCCCCTTCAAACATTGTCTGGAAAGTGCCAGATAGGTATTTTAGGGGCTACACCCCATAGGCCATATGGTTCCTGTTATAACTATTCGACTCTGCCCTTGTCCCATGAAAGCAGCCTTAGACAATAATAAACAAATGGCCCTGTTTGTATTCCAATAAAACTTTATTTACAAAAACAGCGGGTCCTGCAGTAAAATTGTGTTATATAAGTAATAGGGCTCTAGAATCTTTAATAACAAGTTTTGTTTTGTTTTCATTATTACTGTTGCTCTTGTAACGAGGTTTATTTTTAGTTGGGGGTTTAATCTAACTATATCTGGAAAAATTGGTTGGTTGTCAGTACAGCTTTGCAAAAACTTCCTTCATCTCACAGGTGGTTTTATTTTACAAAAGTCTACATTATAAAAATAGATGAACTTGATCAACTTTTTAGCCCATGTGACAGTGCAGGGTAAGTCATCCACCTATTGTTCAGTGAAACCCAGGAAACTGCACCCTCTTATCATCTGCAGCTACAAGGCTAGCTCTTCAGCTGCCTGAGATTAGAATCTCATCATCTCTCAGTGTGGATGCCCACCAACCTCTCAAACACTGAAAAGGGGGAAAAGCTCTGAAAATAAAAAGCCACAACTCTTTATTGAACATCTCATATATGTCAGAGGTGGGGGAGGATGGAAGAGAGGGTATATAAAATCTCATTCATCTCCACATTATAAAGTGGGCGATGTCCTGTTTTACGGATGAGGGTCAGTGACTGCCAACTTCAGAGAGCTAAGGAAGGAATCGGGGGCTATGTGCTGTCTTTTCTCTGCCCCCAACATTCTTTCTATTCAATTTTCAAGTTCTTCTCTTATACCTTACTTCCCCTCCATCCTCAGGAATCTCTGGCCCCTCCACCCCTCCCGAGTCTCACAACCTAAGCATTTTTCTGTCTCTCCTTTCTCTGCTACCCAGTCTAAATTCCTTGGTGGACCATTCATTCTTGTCCACTTTCCCCTC